GGTCTAAGAAAATGTTGTAAATGTTATTTTGTTCCAACAAGGTCCAGAAAGATATTTTATTTCATTCTCAAGAGTTGGTAGAAAGAAACAAAAAAAGGTTCCACTAAAAAACATAAAAACAGTTATATAAAATATATAAATAATTCTTGCATTAAATTGTTGTCAATCAGTCAACATTACATTAAGAACTGTTTTTACAGAATGTTTTCAATAATTGGTTTAAGAGAAAACTATTGTTGAATTCAATTCACCATATCGATACCAATCCTTTGTTGAAAAAACATTGACAAATTACACTTTTAAATGTGAATAGAACGAGCTTTGACGGGGGTTTGGGAGGGGGACTTTTCTCCTCCAAGAAAATTAATGAGATTGTATTTAAAGCGTTCTGCGGCGTTTTTTAGAGCGTCAGGCATTTAGAGACCCGGTTTTTATTGACTACCTAAACGTTACACTAATAGTCCATTTTCTCCACTTGGTCACTCTTAGATTGAGCCAAGTATTGGGTGATTGGAGGCAGTTTTGATCAATTTTGCAAAAAGTTAATTTTATTCTCATCTGTCTCAACAAAACAGGAATATCCCAGAATTAATTTGACATACTTCTCTTATGCAAACTATAGCATTGATTGGCCAAGGGTTCATCTATGATCCTGGGAAATGACCTCTTCTGGACGTAAAGTGTGGGAACATCTGATATGACCAGTTCCCATGCCACTGTGTCACATTTCTGGAATGATGTACACTTTCCTCCAAAAGAAACAATTGTAGTACAGTAAAACCTGTATATCTGAACACTTGGCTTATCCGAACACCCGGTCCCTTTTTTCCTCCAATTGACTCAAATGTTAAAAAACCTTGAAATCACCCTATGCAGACAGAGCCTGTGGGAAATATTGGGTGCGGCGCAAATGAGCGGAGGGTGCGGAGCTAACGGTCATTTTTGAATTTAAAATTGGGATATTTCTGAAACTAAGCCGTTTTAGGACTTCAAATATACCAAGATATGTGTCTTTGACACCAAATATCAATAAAATTGTGAAAATAGTAGTGCAATTCATTCTATAGCGACGCAGTATGCCTTTAACATTTCCCAGACCTATATATTTTGAGACTATCCTTTTAATATTGCGTCCCCAGCATTCATAAAAAATGGTGTTCAAGATACACTACACACTACACAAGATGCAAAAATAATTTGTATAGATAGTGTACCTTGAATACCATTTTTTATGAATGCTGCGGACTCAGTATTAAAAGGATAATTTCAAAATATATAGGTCTGGGAAAGGTTTAAGGCACACTGCGTCGCTATAGAATGAATTGCGCTACTATTTTCACAATTGTATTGATATTTGGTGTCAAATACACATATCTTGGTATATTTGAAGTCCCAAAACGGCTTAGTTTCAGAAATATCCCAAATTTAAATTCAAAAATGACCGTTAGCTCCGCACCCTCCGCTCATTTGCTCCGCACCCAATATTTCCCACAGGCTCTGTCTGCATAGGGTGGAAATGACACCTCCCAATTTGAAAAGTGAACAGACATTTTTGAAAAATTAACCTATCTAATCTGAACACTTTTCATAAAATATCACATGTTCCATACAAAATTGCTCAAATATTTGAAAAAACCTTGATGATCTCACTCATGGTGGGGCTTTCTAAGATGACTAAATTCATTTGAATCGGATTTTCATGTCACTGTAATTCTCCCTTTCGCGATTCGCTCTTTGAATCAGAACGTTCGCAAATATGTTCTGAAAAAGGACTCAAAAAGGACAAAATTTGATTGGTCAATATTTTCTCCCTATGCATTCCGCGTAGCTATTTGCGTGACCCGAAAGTTCTAAATAAAACTATTTACGCAATTTAGTTTTTACACCCGCACGCTAAATAAAACAATGACAACATCGGAAGTATTCTTCTTTGTCATTGCTTTAATAGTTAGTATACCGAGTTTAATCGATAAAAGATTGTACAATTAACAACAAAATTCGGAAACGAGTACTATAGCTTTGCTTTCGAACCACTGAACAGAGTGACCTAGATAATAGCGACGCTTCTTCTTTGGTCTACTGCTCAGTTATGTGTTGGTTTTCAACGTAACTCTATGATGTAATTTGAAGATGAATACTTTTATTCAGTTGTTGCATCGATGTTGCAGTTTGTTGTGCGGTAAGATTGGCATGAAAGTATTGAAAGTCGAATGAAATTGTTTTTCCAATATGGCGACTAGTCAACTGATCATGTGACCTTCTCTTCCGGAATATTTTCTCACTTTTCAATCATCGTTTTCACCACGCTATGACTCAATACAATAAAAAAATAGCTGTTATATTAAGATTAATAAGAGATCAATCGTTTCTAATAATTTTTTCTGTACCCCGTACGGGGATATGAACGAATATATCGTTTGAAAAATAGGTGTGAAAATCCCCATGTTAAACCTATGAGGGAAAACAAGGAAGTATAAATTTGTTCCTCCGCGAACTGCATCATGGGAAATATTTTGACCTTATAAGGAAAGATTTTCGCGTCTCCTCTTTTGAAGAGGGAACAGCGATTTCGAGAATTCCATAAAGCTATGTAGTCAAAAGAACTATAAATATTTATTGAAAATTTGTTCCTATTTCTTCAAAATCCAAAATCTTGTAAATGCAAAACCTCAAAATGAGAACACCTCCTCATCCTAATGCTTTTAGCTGGTCTCTCGGATTAGACAGGTCTTACTGTAGGTACAATCCCCTCTAAAAGTTAATGAAAAAACTAGAAAAACAGCAACTCCACGGAGTAGCAAATCCCACCGAACAAAACATATTATGCTTATTATAGCTAGTGTAAATGTTGAAATGTTTGTGCACTTTGTGATAGAAGCATGAAATTTGGCACAAAGTTAGTTTATACCATTGTGAACTAGGCATCATCATATAAAATTTGAACCAAATCTGTTCACTGGTATTTGAGTTATCAAAGATTATGTTTTTACGAAAAAATTGCCGCCATTTTGAAATTAAGCGGCCATCTTGAAAATTTTTTGTCGAACATAGCTACTTTGTCCCTAAGCATCATCATATAAAATTTGAACCAAATCCGTTCACTGGTATTTTAGTTATCAAAGATTACATATTTTTATGAAAAATGGCCGCCATTTTGAAATTAAGCGGCCATCTTGAAAATCTCTTTTTGAGCAAAACTCCTTTGTCCTTTGGCATCAGCATATAAAATTTGAACCAAATCCGTCAACTTGTGTTATCAACGATTACTTTTTTTACGAAAAATGGTGGCCATTTTGAATTGAGCGGCCATATTGAAAATTCCTTTTCGAGCAGAGGTCCTACACTCATAAGGCATTAGCCTATAAAATTTGAACCAAATCCGTATACCGGTATTGGAGTTATTGCCGGACACACAGATGAACGGACAAACTGACGGACGGATGGCTTCTCTATATCCCCTCGAACTTCGTTCGGTGGGATAATCACTGGCTGGGAATTGGTGTTTGCTTACACACAGGTGTTCAATAGAGTAGACTCATGTGTTCACTGGGCACAGATCTTCACTAAAGAGGTGTTCATTTAGACAGTTTTACCGTACTGAAATCACTGGCTGGGAATTGGTGTTCATTTTACACAGGTGTTCAAGAGAGTAGACGCATGTGTTCACAGGGCACAGATCTTCACTAAAGAGCCTAAAGAGGTGTTCATTATGATATTTTTACTGTACTGAAATCACTGGCTGGGAATCGGTGTTCACTATACACAGGTGTTCAATAGAGTAGACTCATGTGTTCACTGGGCACAGATCTTCACTTAGGAGGTGTTCATTTAGACAGTTTTACCGTACTGAAATCAATCGCTGGGAATTCACTATATATAAAATTGAAATGTATGTATCATGCCACCCCTGCAAAATAATTGACTAGCCCACTTGGTCTCTTGGATCCACTTGCAAAATATATATAACCTTTAAAATCAAATCCATGGCAAAATTGTAATGACTGAAATCTTTGTATGTGTTCTTCTTCGTCTTCTTCGCGGACCTCATAGACACTTCCGGTTGTATAATCGGTGAGTTTATCAATAAAAAAATCTGGTATCTGCTTAAATATGGTATGTAAATTTGTGTTGATTGTTAAATTACAAAATAGGTTGAATAAAAAATATGTCAAAGTCGTTTGATCTCGTCCCAGAAGCTATATTTTGTCATTTCTGTCCAAGAACTCCTTTAAGGCTCTCCAGCAAAATTGGCAATCAAAATGCTAAAGAGCCTTAAAATTTAGGGCTCTTTAGCTGAAATGCTAAAGAACCTTAAAATTTAAGGCTCTTTAGCCAAATGGGTTACCAAAGTGCTAAAGAGCCTTAAATTTTAGGCTTTCCAGCCACGGCCTTGAATGTTTGTTTATGGGAACACTAGGTGGGGAAATATTTTTCTTAATTGGAAACTCCCATGATGCACTACGAGTATTTAATGGCGATGGGTCAGAATTGATGTTCATTATAGCTTTCAACTCATCACTTTAAGGCACTGGTGATCCACTCGATTACCCTGGTTACCGATTCTGTTGTCTTCTGAGTTATTTTTGCAAACATGAACATTTCTAAAACATATGATACTCTGCCCTGTCAACCCTCACGCATTTGCTGGAAAAATAGAAATCATGCATCTATTTAGCGTGTATGATCAAATAGCACGCAAATCACGCATTTTGATATCTTTAAAATCGTTTTGGTCTTTGCATGCGATTGCCGTTTATGTCACGCATTTTGTATAAAATATGTGTATATATCACCCCTTCTTGGAAAAGTCAGATGTGTGTTAATTGGAGTGTGCGCATCTATTATAGAGAATACGGTAAATATTTGGTCACTTGACATCTTGATTTCTTTTCTAAAAATATATATGTACCTCAATCTGAGAAGGGAGGGAATGTTAAAATCTTTGAATGACCTTAATGAGATGATATGTCTGACTGTTGATTTTATAATAATATGCCCACCTGCCATGTCCCGCAATAAGCTTGACATCATCAAAGGAATGGAACAGATGCATGCCCTCCTCAGATACATGCTGGTCAACCTTGGGCTGAAGTTCTGCTGATGGAAGTCTTTCTACATCTGTGCCAAAACTCTGCAATATAGAGATAAACAATAAGCACTATATCCAATCATTGAGGAATAAAGATGTCTCCAGCTACATGCTAATCAACTTTGGGAGAGACCTCAGATCAGTTTACAATTGTTTCTTAGTACCTACTGTAAGCTTGAGATCATACATGTGAATTTTCCCCTTTGGTGTTTTTTCTTTGGACCTCCAAAATGCTTGTTTATTCCCCTTGCATAATACAATATTCAGATGGGGTCACCCCATTGGTCAAGATTCATAATGGTCCGAATCTGCTAAATATCAATGGGGGTCATTTTTTCGTAAAAACATAATCTTTGATAACTCAGATACCAGGTTTGGTTCAAATTTTATATGATAATGCCAAGAGACAAAGTAGATTTGTTCAAGAAAGGCAAGAAAGGATTTTCAAGATGGTAGCTAAATTTCAAAATGGCCATCATTTTTCATAAAAAATTAAATCTTTGATAACTCAAATACTAGTTGACGGATTTGGTTCAAATTGTATATGCTGATGCCTAGGGACAAGGGAGCTATCCTGGAAAAGAGATTTTCAAAATGGCTGCTAAATATCAAAATGCCTTCACTTCATTAAATGCATTGGTCTTTGCGCTTCACCCATTCTTCGTTTTGAGCCCTAAAGCCACAAAGGAATTTAGTGCGCCACCTTAAGCGAGCTCTACAAAAGAAATGGCCTGAAATTACACCCTTCTCTGAGCTATTTCACCAAGACAATGCCCCATGTCAATGAGCAAATATGGTTCAGGATACCATCCAAGATACCCTACAGATGGAGATTTTAGATCAGGCTGCATACTTGCCTGATGAGGCTGTATTGGACTTTGGGGTGTTCAGGAAAGATGAACTAAGATGTTCGTTATGCAAGCATGACCGAGCTCACTGCAGCTGTGCAGAGTGCAATGCTCACTAAATTCCCTTGTGGCTAAGGGCTCAATACGAAGAATGGGTGAAGCGCCAGGAACTATGCATCCAGTATAAAGAGAATATTTTGAGCATTTAATGAAGTGACATGCCTGTTAGGAACTTCAATTTAAAAATACAATGTTTTATGAAGTGTATCTCTATAATGAATTCATCACATTTTTCATTGTGTTCACATGATAACTGAATCTGAATAATTAATTTACTGATTTGATAAAGAATGTCTACAAGTATAAATCTGAAAGTTAATGCTAATTAACAGAAGTATTAGAGCTTAGGTGGACAAAATACATATAGACTCAATTAATTTATGTTTATCTGGTAATATATTCCAATCTCAACAAAACATATCAGTATTATAATCCAATTATACATTAACAACTTTGCTACTAATGTTCTAATATTTGGATCATATCTTTTATGCAGTTTTGTTGAACAATTTTATGTAGTTTTGTTGAATGATCTAGATGTGCTTGGCTGCTGCAATGAAACACATGCCAAAACTGAGAGGGGTTTGTAGAAAATACCGGGTACTGGATAGTAAATCTTACTCTATTTTCAATAGTTCGTGTGTTGGTATGTGAATTGTTTTGATTATGATTTAAATGGAGGATTTACTACCTGGTACCCAGTATTTTCTACAAACCCAAACTTAGAGAAATCATTCATTTATATGCATCGTGGATTATATCAGTATCATTAATTTTTTATATGATGGAACACTAATTACAGGCCTGTCAACTGTCCCGCAATTTGCGTATTTGTCACGCATTTGCTGAAGAATTTGAAGTCACGCCAGTTATTTTTGCGTGACAGAAAATGTCACGCAAATACGCATTTTACCTGGTAATTGTCAAGCAAAAATATTTCTGTAGAAAATTTTCTAAAAAAGATCGTATACACAGCAAAAATACGAACGTCGGGAAAAAAACGTACGCATTTCGTTCGTACTTTTCACGCGAATTACGTATATGTCACGCATTCCGTTCGAAATTTTTCGTACCTACCCCCCCCCCCCCCCCCCCCCCCGTTGATGGATGTTTGAAACGCGAGGGTAGCGAGCGCGAAAAATTTGAGGTGTTCAAATTTATCAAGGTGTTCAAAAATTTGGATCAAGGTGTTCAGATTTGGACCAAGGTGTCCACATTTTGATGGGAGGTGTTCAACATTTCCAAGTCACTCATGTTAGGTGTTCCCAAGTTGACAGGCCTGCTAATTATTACAGAATTAGAAACCATCATCACCCAAGAAAAAAAAAATTCTAATTTAGACCTACTTTAGACCTAGTACCGCTCTAATGCCGCTCATATCCTTCCGACTAGCCGGTACTAGAGTTATATTGCATCGGTGTTAAATCTGTTAATACTGACTAGTCGGTACTAGAGTTATATTACAGCGGTGTTAACTTATATTTAATCTTGTTGATACAGACTGAGCGGTATAAGAGCGGTATTACGTTATAAAAAATTAGGACATCTATACTAGATGGGCAAATCTTCTTTTCTTTGTGAATTTATCAAGGCCAAATTTTAATTCTATTCATTATACATACAGTCAAAGTCGTCAAGCATAAATGTGTTGTGTATGACCAATTATACCATGCAGTAAAAATATAAGGTATTTTATAAAAATGTAAATACTGCTGGAGGCCTAGAGGGTCCTTCAATAACTGTGAGCCTTCTTGCCTTCAGGACAATTCTGAATGGGTAAAATTACCAGTGATGGAACATAATAATTGCTTATATATCATCTTACATACCCAGGGCCAACCTAAAATGAACAATTTGCGTGATATTTCCAGAAATTGTGGTACTTTTACGGGAGATTTTCCAAAATCTGGTAGTTTTTTATGGGAGGGTTTTTAAAAAAATTGGTAGTTTTTGTGGTAGATTTTTAAAAATCGGGAGTTTTTTAGGTAAATTTTGAAACAACTGGAGTTTTTATGGTGAAATAAAATGGTACTTTTTTTAAAAAAAGTGGATTATCTCCAGTTTTTTTCTAATAAAAGCAATAGTTTTTGCGGTAAATTCTGCAAAAAGTGGTAGTTTTGCGGGAGATTTTTGACAAAATCTGTAGTTTTTGCGAGAGAATTTTGAAAAAACTTTGGACTTTGCATGTGAATTAATTAATACATGTAATAGGCCAGAACCAGATTTGGTCTTGAGCACTTCAGTACTACATCACTAAATAACAAACAGTCATTTGGAGCTTTTAGGTGTTCTATAGTTAGAGCTACTGCATGTCTGTTGACATACATCATATCATTATATTAATTTTGATCAGAAGGCAAAAGGCTAATAAAAACAGAAGCATCGTCATAAGATCTGTGTTTAGCTGTATTTAAATATGATATTGATTATTCCCATTATTCCCATTTCGCCCCTTCCCACTTCGCCCCTTCCCATTTTGCCTCTCATTTATTCCCATTTTGCCCCTTTCCCAATACGCCCTTTTCCCATCTCGCCCCTTCCCATTTTATTTCACCCCTTTCCCATGTCCCATATCGCCCCTTTCCCTTATCGCCCCTTCCCATTTTGGCCCTTCCCATGTCGCCCCTTCCCATTTCGCCCATTCCCATTTTAGATCAATAACAGGTTTTATTCAAATATTATTCAATTATTCAGGGGCAAAATGGGAAGGGGCAAAATGGGAATAAATGAGGGGCGAAATGGGAAAGAGGACAATTGGGAAGGGGTGAAGGGGGAATGATAGGAGGTTGTGATATCTCACGAAATGGGAAGGGGGCTGAATGGGACAGGGGCAAAATGGATTGATGGAAGACTGGCAAAATGGGTAAGGGGCAATTTGGGAAAGGGGCGAAATGGGAAGGGAAAAAAGTGGGAAGGGGCGAAATGGGAAGATATCGGATTTCATCTGTATTTAATCAGTATTGGAGCTGTACTAGAGCGGTATTAAATATCCCTGTCCAATACCGATGCATCGGTATTTGATCGGTACTTGATCGGTACTTGATCGGTATTGGAGTTTCACTAAAGCCATATTAAATAGCATAGTCCTATACCGGTGCATCGTTATTAGAGCTATATAAGATCGGTACTAGGTCGGTATTTGGTCGGTATTTGGTTAAAGCTGATTGGCTGACAGGACTTCTAAATTAGCTCATTTGCATGATAAAGGGGACATGCCATTAAGAGGCCAGTCTCTGACTTAGTCATTTTTTCAAAAGTGTGAAAATAAAAAAACTCATGAAAAGTTCTTAAAATATTCTGAATAAGAAGTTGAATATATATATTTAATGATGGCACAAGCAAAAGTCTGAAAATTAACATGAAATGAGGGGTTTTGACAGATGCAAAAGATGGTAGATTTGTGATGAAGAAATAGAGGTTTTTGCAGTAACAACACAATTACCTCGAAGTTATCGGTTACGAGAGGCTGAGGACTAAAACTTGACATAATTTTCAATCTCAGATTAACAGTAGTATCTAACTTAAGCTGGACAGCCACTCAATATGCATATGGAGCCCATAAGATACATTTTTCTCAATTGAAGTCACTGTTTCTGTTTTTAGCTTCAGAGGATAGGAGGTACATGAACATGCTAAGTTTACCTAGATCACAAGCCTTACCACAAATATAAAGTACATAGGAATAGAGTTGATATGTGTGAGAACCTTAAACTTTCCATTTTATTGGGGATGGGACTTGTGATTCATGTGTATTTCTAACTTCTTCACATGTGCATGGATCTAAAATTGTGGCAGCCATCTTGGATTTGTCATATATGTGGACATGGTTTTGGTTGGGCTGAATTTGTTTCAAAATAACATTTCTTGTATACCTTCGATAAGTGAAATAGGCATTTGAAATTAAATACAGATAGTATACTTGACATTTAATGCAGAAAACAGTAATACAATTCATTCTTACATAATAAGTGAGTCCAGACAAAAAGTTGTTATTGTGTTAGTTTAACTGGGCATAAATTTCACTCATTGGCCTTGGTTTTCTTAAATGGCTTGGATAAAATGTTGTTCTATTTATTGAGAAATGGAGTATAGTTCAATATACAAGTTCACATTCATTCCATCCTCTTGTAGAAA